TTATAAGCTGGAGTCTTCGCTGGTTATAAGCTGCAACTTTCACTGGTTATAAGCTGCAACTTTCACTGGTTATAAGCTGGAGTCTTCGCTGGTTATAAGCTGAAGTCTTCACTGGTTATAAGCTGGAGTCTTCACTGGTTACAAGCTGGAGTCTTCACTGGTTATAAGCTGGAGTCTTCACTGGTTATAAGCTGCAACTTTCACTGGTTACAAGCTGGAGCTTTCACTGGTTACAAGCTGGAGTCTTCACTGGTTATAAGCTGGAGCCTTCACTGGTTATAAGCTGCAACTTTCACTGGTTATAAGCTGCAACTTTCACTGGTTATAAGCTGGAGTCTTCACTGGTTACAAGCTGGAGTGTTCACTGTTTACAAGCTGGAGTATTCACTGGTTATAAGCTGCAGCTTTCACTGGTTATAAGCTGGAGTCTTCACTGGTTATAAGCTGCAACTTTCACTGGTTATAAGCTGGAGTCTTCACTGGTTACAAGCTGGAGTCTTCACTGGTTATGAGCTGCAACTTTCACTGGTTACAAGCTGGAGTCTTCACTGGTTACAAGCTGGAGCTTTCACTGGTTATAAGCTGGAGCTTTCACTGGTTATAAGCTGGAGTCTTCACTGGTTATAAGCTGGAGCCTTCACTGGTTATAAGCTGCAAACTTTCACTGGTTATAAGCTGCAGTCTTCACTGGTTATAAGCTGCAACTTTCACTGGTTATAAGCTGGAGTCTTCACTGGTTATAAGCTGGAGTCTTCAATGGTTATAAGCTGCAACTTTCACTGGTTATTAGCTGCAGCTTGCACTGGTTATAAGCTGGAGTCTTCACTGGTTACAAGCTGCAACTTTCACTGGTTATAAGCTGGAGTCTTCACTGGTTACAAGCTGGAGTCTTCACTGGTTATAAGCTGGAGTCTTCACTGGTTATAAGCTGGAGTCTTCACTGGTTATAAGCTGGAGTCTTCACTGGTTATAAGCTACAACTTTCACTGGTTACAAGCTACAACTTTCACTGGTTACAAGCTGCAACTTTCACTGGTTATAAGCTGGAGCCTTCACTGGTTATAAGCTGGAGCCTTCACTGGTTACAAGCTGGAGTCTTCACTGGTTATAAGCTGCAGCTTTCACTGGTTATAAGCTGGAGTTTTCACTGGTTATAAGCTGGAGTCTTCACTGGTTACAAGCTGCAGTCTTCACTGGTTATAAGCTGGAGTCTTCACTGGTTGCAAGCTGGAGTCTTCACTGGTTACAAGCTGCAACTTTCATTGGTTATAAGCTGCAACTTTCACTGGTTATAAGCTGGAGTCTTCACTGGTTATAAGCTGGAGTCTTCACTGGTTATAAGCTGCAACTTTCACTGGTTATAAGCTGGAGTCTTCACTGGTTATAAGCTGGAGCCTTCACTGGTTATAAGCTGGAGTCTTCACTGGTTACAATCTGCAGCTTTCACTGGTTATAAGCTGGAGACTTCACTGGTTATAAGCTGGAGTCTTCACTGGTTACAAGCTGCAACTTTCACTGGTGATAAGCTGGAGACTTCACTGGTCACAAGCTGGAGTCTTCACTGGTTACAAGCTGGAGTCTTCACTGGTTATAAGCTGGAGTCTTCACTGGTTATAAGCTGCAACTTTCACTGGTTACAAGCTGGAACTTTCACTGGTTATAAGCTGGAGTCTTCACTGGTTACAAGCTGGAGTCTTCACTGGTTATAAGCTGCAACTTTCACTGGTTATAAGCTGGAGTCTTTACTGGTTATAAGCTGCAGCTTTCACTGGTTACAAGCTGCAACTTTCACTGGTTATAAGCTGCAACTTTCACTGGTTATAAGCTGGAGTCTTCACTGGTTATAAGCTGCAACTTTCACTGGTTATAAGCTGGAGTCTTCAATGGTTATAAGCTGGAGTCTTCACTGGTTATAAGCTGCAACTTTCACTGGTTATAAGCTGCAACTTTCACTGGTTACAAGCTGCAACTTTCACTGGTTATAAGCTGGAGTCTTCACTGGTTACGAGCTGCAGCTTTCACTGGTTATAAGCTGGAGTCTTCACTGGTTATAAGCTGCAACTTTCACTGGTTATAAGCTGGAGTCTTCACTGGTTATAAGCTGGAGTCTTCACTGGTTACAAGCTGGAGTCTTCACTGGTTATAAGCTGCAACTTTCACTGGTTATAAGCTGGAGTCTTCGCTGGTTATAAGCTGCAACTTTCACTGGTTATAAGCTGCAACTTTCACTGGTTATAAGCTGGAGTCTTCGCTGGTTATAAGCTGCAACTTTCACTGGTTATAAGCTGCAACTTTCACTGGTTATAAGCTGAAGTCTTCACTGGTTATAAGCTGGAGTCTTCACTGGTTACAAGCTGGAGTCTTCACTGGTTATAAGCTGCAACTTTCACTGGTTACAAGCTGGAGCTTTCACTGGTTACAAGCTGGAGTCTTCACTGGTTATAAGCTGGAGCCTTCACTGGTTATAAGCTGCAACTTTCACTGGTTATAAGCTGCAACTTTCACTGGTTATAAGCTGGAGTCTTCACTGGTTACAAGCTGGAGTGTTCACTGTTTACAAGCTGGAGTATTCACTGGTTATAAGCTGCAGCTTTCACTGGTTATAAGCTGGAGTCTTCACTGGTTATAAGCTGCAACTTTCACTGGTTATAAGCTGGAGTCTTCACTGGTTACAAGCTGGAGTCTTCACTGGTTATGAGCTGCAACTTTCACTGGTTACAAGCTGGAGTCTTCACTGGTTACAAGCTGGAGCTTTCACTGGTTATAAGCTGGAGCTTTCACTGGTTATAAGCTGGAGTCTTCACTGGTTATAAGCTGGAGCCTTCACTGGTTATAAGCTGCAACTTTCACTGGTTATAAGCTGCAGTCTTCACTGGTTATAAGCTGCAACTTTCACTGGTTATAAGCTGGAGTCTTCACTGGTTATAAGCTGGAGTCTTCAATGGTTATAAGCTGCAACTTTCACTGGTTATTAGCTGCAGCTTGCACTGGTTATAAGCTGGAGTCTTCACTGGTTACAAGCTGCAACTTTCACTGGTTACAAGCTGCAACTTTCACTGGTTATAAGCTGGAGTCTTCACTGGTTATAAGCTGGAGTCTTCACTGGTTATAAGCTGGAGTCTTCACTGGTTATAAGCTACAACTTTCACTGGTTACAAGCTACAACTTTCACTGGTTACAAGCTGCAACTTTCACTGGTTATAAGCTGGAGCCTTCACTGGTTATAAGCTGGAGCCTTCACTGGTTACAAGCTGGAGTCTTCACTGGTTATAAGCTGCAGCTTTCACTGGTTATAAGCTGGAGTTTTCACTGGTTATAAGCTGGAGTCTTCACTGGTTACAAGCTGCAGTCTTCACTGGTTATAAGCTGGAGTCTTCACTGGTTGCAAGCTGGAGTCTTCACTGGTTATAAGCTACAACTTTCACTGGTTACAATCTGCAGCTTTCACTGGTTATAAGCTGGAGTCTTCACTGGTTACAAGCTGCAACTTTCATTGGTTATAAGCTGCAACTTTCACTGGTTATAAGCTGGAGTCTTCACTGGTTATAAGCTGGAGTCTTCACTGGTTATAAGCTGCAGCTTTCACTGGTTATAAGCTGGAGTCTTCACTGGTTATAAGCTGGAGCCTTCACTGGTTATAAGCTGGAGTCTTCACTGGTTACAATCTGCAGCTTTCACTGGTTATAAGCTGGAGACTTCACTGGTTATAAGCTGGAGTCTTCACTGGTTACAAGCTGCAACTTTCACTGGTGATAAGCTGGAGACTTCACTGGTCACAAGCTGGAGTCTTCACTGGTTACAAGCTGGAGTCTTCACTGGTTATAAGCTGGAGTCTTCACTGGTTATAAGCTGCAACTTTCACTGGTTACAAGCTGGAACTTTCACTGGTTATAAGCTGGAGTCTTCACTGGTTACAAGCTGGAGTCTTCACTGGTTATAAGCTGCAACTTTCACTGGTTATAAGCTGGAGTCTTTACTGGTTATAAGCTGCAGCTTTCACTGGTTACAAGCTGCAACTTTCACTGGTTATAAGCTGCAACTTTCACTGGTTATAAGCTGGAGTCTTCACTGGTTATAAGCTGCAACTTTCACTGGTTATAAGCTGGAGTCTTCAATGGTTATAAGCTGGAGTCTTCACTGGTTATAAGCTGCAACTTTCACTGGTTATAAGCTGGAGTCTTCACTGGTTATAAGCTGGAGTCTTCACTGGTTATAAGCTGGAGTCTTCACTGGTTACAAGCTGCAACTTTCACTGGTTATAAGCTGGAGTCTTCACTGGTTACAAGCTGCAACTTTCACTGGTTATAAGCTGGAGTCTTCACTGGTTATAAGACATCAGGCCTCCTGATGTCTTACAACACCTCCTGACGTCTTGAAAGGCCTCCTGATGTCTTACAACACCTCCTGACGTCTTAACAGGCCTCCTGATGTCTTACAACACCTCCTGACGTCTTAACAGGCCTCCTGATGTCTTACAACACCTCCTGACGTCTTAACAGGCCTCCTGATGTCTTACAACACCTCCTGACGTCTTAACAGGCCTCCTGATGTCTTACAACACCTCCTGACGTCTTAACAGGCCTCCTGATGTCTTACAACACCTCCTGTCCTGACGTCTTAACAGGCCTCCTGATGTCTTACAACACCTCCTGACGTCTTAACAGGCCTCCTGATGTCTTACAACACCTCCTGACGTCTTAACAGGCCTCGTGATGTCTTACAACACCTCCTGACGTCTTAACAGGCCTCCTGATGTCTTACAACACCTCCCGACGTCTTAACAGGCCTCCTGATGTCTTAACAGGCCTCCTGATGTCTTACAACACCTCCTGACATCTTAACAGGCCTCCTGATGTCTTACAACACCTCCTGACGTCTTAACAGGCCTCCTGATGTCTTACAACATCTCCTGACGTCTTAACAGGCCTCCTGATGTCTTACAACACCTCCTGACATCTTAACAGGCCTCATGATGTCTTAGAACACCTCCTGACGTCTTAACAGGCCTCCTGATGTCTTACAACACCTCCTGACGTCTTAACAGGCCTCCTGATGTCTTACAACACCTCCTGACGTCTTGAAAGGCCTCCTGATGTCTTACAACACCTCCTGACGTCTTAACAGGCCTCCTGATGTCTTACAACACCTCCTGACGTCTTAACAGGCCTCCTGATGTCTTACAACACCTCCTGACGTCTTAACAGGCCTCCTGATGTCTTAGAACACCTGATGTCTTACAACACCTCCTGACGTCTCCTAACAGGCCTCCTGACGTCTTAACAGGCCTCCTGATGTCTTACAACACCTCCTGACGTCTTAACAGGCCTCCTGATGTCTTACAACACCTCCTGACGTCTTAACAGGCCTCCTGATGTCTTAGAACACCTCCTGACGTCTTAACAGGCCTCCTGATGTCTTACAACAGCTCCTGACGTCTTAACAGGCCTCCTGATGTCTTACAACACCTCCTGACGTCTTAACAGGCCTCCTGATGTCTTAAAACACCTCCTGACGTCTTAACAGGCCTCCTGATGTCTTACAACACCTCCTGACGTCTTAACAGGCCTCCTGATGTCTTACAACACCTCCTGATGTCTTAACAGGCCTCCTGATGTCTTACAACACCTCCTGACGTCTTAACAGGCCTCCTAATGTCTTACAACACCTCCTGACGTCTTAACAGGCCTCCTGATGTCTTACAACACCTCCTGACGTCTTAACAGACCTCCTGATCTCTTACAACACCTCCTGACGTATTAACAGGCCTCCTGATGTCTTACAACACCTCCTGACGTCTTAACAGGCCTCCTGATGTCTTAGAACACCTCCTGACGTCTTAACAGGCCTCCTGATGTCTTAGAACACCTCCTGACGTCTTAACAGGCCTCCTGATGTCTTACAACACCTCCTGACGTCTTAACAGGCCTCCTGATGTCTTAGAACACCTCCTGACGTCTTAACAGGCCTCCTGATGTCTTAGAACACCTGCTGATGTCTTAACAGGCCTCCTGATGTCTTAAAACACCTCCTGATGTCTTACAACACCTCCTGACGTCTTAACAGGCCTCCTGATGTCTTACAACACCTCCTGACGTCTTAACAGGCCTCCTGATGTCTTACAACACCTCCTGACGTCTTGAAAGGCGTCCAAATGTCTCCATACACCCGCAGATGCCTCTTAAGACGTTTACATCTTATGATGTCTACAAACACCCCCCCCCCCGCCCGGATCCCCCGATGTGTTGATAGACATCTCAGCGTCTCCAGACACATCCCGGACGCGTTGGGTATTCTTCACGTCGCCCCCTCCACCTCACGATGCCTCCGACACGCCTTGAGACACCTTGGTGGGAAGGGGGGAGGGCCCGGCTAGTCCCGGGCACATTCAGGGGATGCTGCCGATGACTTCAGATCCCCCGGTGAGGCGTGCAGTGCCTTTCATTTTCGCGGGTGTCCATGTTGGTTAGTCCATTTTAGCGGGCGTCCATGTCGGTCAGTTCCTTTAGCGGGCATCCATGTTGATCAGTTCACTTAGCGGACATCCATGTTGATTAGTTCATTTAGCGGGCATCCACGTTGGTCAGTTCAGTTAGTGGGCATCCATGTTGGTCAGTTCATTTAGCGGGCATCCACGTCGGTCAGTTCATTTAGCGGGCATCCACGTTGGTCAGTTCATTTAGCGGGCGTCCATGTTGGTCGGTTCATTTAGCGGGCATCCACGTTGGTCAGTTCATTTAGCGGGCGTCCATGTTGGTCGGTTCATTTAGCGGGCGTCCACGTTGGTCAGTTCAGTTAGCGGGCATCCATGTTGGTCAGTTCATTTAGCGGGCATCCATGTTGGTCAGTTCATTTAGCGGGCATCCACGCTGGTCAGTTCATTTAGCGGGCGTCCACGTTGGTCAGTTCTTTTAGCGGGCGTCCACGTTGATCAGTTCATTTAGCGGGCATCCATGTTGGTCAGTTCATTTAGCGGGCGTCCACGTTGGTCAGTTCATTTAGTGGGCGTCCACGCTGGTCAGTTCATTTAGCGGGCGTCCACGTTGGTCAGTTCATTTAGCGGGCATCCATGTTGATTAGTTCACTTAGCGGGCGTCCATGCTGGTTAGTTCATTTAGCGGCCATCCTTGTTGGTCAATTCATTTAGCGGGCATCCACGTTGGTCAGTTCATTTCGCGGGCATCCACGTTGATCAGTTCATTTAGCGGGCATCCATGTTGATTAGTTCACTTAGCGGGCGTCCATGCTGGTCGGTTCATTTAGCGGGCGTCCATGTTGGTCAGTTCATTTAGCGGGCGCCCACATAGGTCAGTTCATTTAGCGGGCGTCCATGTTGGTCAGTTCAGTTAGCGGGCATCCATGTTGGTCAGTTCATTTAGCGGGCGCCCACGTTGGTCAGTTCACTTAGCGGGCATCCATGTTGGTCAGTTCATTTAGCGGGCGTCCACGTTGGTCAGTTCATTTAGTGGGCGTCCACGTTGATTAGTTTACTTAGCGGGCATCCACGTTGGTCGGTTCATTTAGCGGGCGTCCATGTTGATTAGTTCACTTAGCGGGCGTCCACGTTGGTCAGTTCATTTAGCGGGCGTCCACGTTGATCAGTTCATTTAGCGGGCATCCATGTTGGTCAGTTGATTTAGCGGGCGTCCACGTTGGTCAGTTCATTTAGCGGGCGTCCACGTTGGTCAGTTCATTTAGCGGGCGTCCACGTTGGTCAGTTCATTTAGTGGGCGTCCACGCTGGTCAGTTCATTTAGCGGGCGTCCACGTTGGTCAGTTCATTTAGTGGGCATCCATGTTGATTAGTTCACTTAGCGGGCGTCCATGCTGGTCGGTTCATTTAGCGGGCGTCCATGTTGGTCAGTTCATTTAGCGGGCGCCCACGTTGGTCAGTTCATTTAGCGGGCGTCCATGTTGGTCAGTTCAGTTAGCGGGCATCCATGTTGGTCAGTTCATTTAGCGGGCGCCCACGTTGGTCAGTTCACTTAGCGGGCATCCATGTTGGTCAGTTCATTTAGCGGGCGTCCACGTTGGTCAGTTCATTTAGTGGGCGTCCACGTTGATTAGTTTACTTAGCGGGCATCCACGTTGGTCGGTTCATTTAGCGGGCGTCCATGTTGATTAGTTCGCTTAGCGGGCATCCACGTTGGTCAGTTCAGTTAGCGGGCGTCCATGTTGGTCAGTTCATTTAGCGGGGCGTCCATGTTGGTCAGTTCATTTAGCGGGCGCCCACGTTGATTTTAATCTAAGCCAAGACAAGATCAGCGGTGGGCCTTCGTTGGCGGTGTTGAATCGGGCGAGGCGGCTTTGAAGACGTTGGCTTTATTTTATTTTTTATTTAAAGTCGAAAGATGGCGGGAAACGATGATTATAATGACAATCGAACGTCGGGCTCGCCCCAAGTGACTGTTTGTGGACTCCAACGTCGGCCCAACGTCGGCTCCCGACGTTGACCGTGGTGGGGGGGGGAGGGGCGTGGGGGGGGGGGGGGGGGGGCGTGGGGGGGAGGGGCGTGGGGGGGAGGGGGCGTGCCTCTGGGTGCCTTGAAGTTGTTGATTCTGTGAAGTCAATGAACGAGACGGAGAATTTAGTGTTGGGTGGGGGGTGGTTGGAGAGGTGGGGGGAGGTGGGGGGGGTGGAGGAGGGGGGTGGAGAGGGGGGGAGGGAGGGAGGGGGAAGGAGGGAGGAGGGGGGGAGTTGAACGATGTTAATCCGTTTTAACAAATCTTTAACCTCATGGAGATTCTTGATTCAAAAATTGGAAATCCTCCCGGTGAGTGAGTGAGTCTGTGAGTGGTGAGTCTGTGGTGAGTCTGTGAGTGGTGAGTGAGTCTGTGTGGTGAGTCTGTGAGTCTGTGTGGTGAGTGTGAGTGGTGAGTCTGTGTGGTGAGTGAGTCTGTGAGTGGTGAGTCTGTGGTGAGTCTGTGTGGTGAGTGAGTCTGTGAGTGGTGAGTCTGTGGTGAGTCTGTGAGTGGTGAGTCTGTGTGGTGAGTGAGTCTGTGAGTGGTGAGTCTGTGGTGAGTCTGTGAGTGGTGAGTGAGTCTGTGTGGTGAGTCTGTGTGGTGAGTGTGGGTGGTGAGTCTGTGTGGTGAGTGAGTCTGTGAGTGGTGAGTCTGTGGTGAGTCTGTGTGGTGAGTGAGTCTGTGAGTGGTGAGTCTGTGGTGAGTCTGTGAGTGGTGAGTCTGTGTGGTGAGTGAGTCTGTGAGTGGTGAGTGGTGAGTCTGTGGTGAGTCTGTGAGTGGTGAGTCTGTGGTGAGTCTGTGAGTGGTGAGTCTGTTGTGAGTCTGTGAGTGGTGAGTCTGTGGTGAGTGTGAGTGGTGAGTCTGTGTGGTGAGTGAGTCTGTGAGTGGTGAATCTGTGGTGAGTGAGTGAGTCTGTGTGGTGAGTGAATCTGTGAGTGGTGAGTCTGTGAGTGGTGAGTCTGTGGTGAGTCTGTGAGTGGTGAGTCTGTGGGTCTCTTTAGCCAATCAGATATCAACGATGATGATAGCGATGACGATATCAATGATTTTGATCATGATTATGATATTCTTGGTTCTTTCGGCAGTCGAAACGTCGTAAGAATTGTATTGTTTTATATTTTATTATTTTATTGTTTCCCTTCTACGTGGTGGTGACTTTACCGAAAGAACCAAGAATAATAATTTATAGTTTTACAATAATTGTATTGTTTTATATTTTATTATTTTATTGTTTCCCTTCAACGTGGTGACTTTACCGAAAGAACCAAGAATAATAATTTAATTGTTTTACAATAATTTTATTATTTTATATTTTTATTATTTTATTGTTTCCCTTCTACGTGGTGGTGACTTTACCGAAAGAACCAAGAATAATAATTTAATTGTTTTACAATAATTTTATTGTTTTATATTTTTATCATTTTATTGTTTACCGAATATGAATCCCTGCAGTCACGAAAGCTTTAAATCAACATTTAATGATTATGATATAAACGATAGCAATCATGAGAGTGATGATAATGATATCAATGATACCGATCATGATAGCGATATTAATGATTGCGATCACAATGATGATATCGATCATGATACTGATTATCGTAGCGATGATGATATCAATGATAGCGAGTATTTTGATGAACACGATCATGATAGCGATGATGATATCAATGATAGCGAGTATTTTGATGAACACGATCATGATAGCGATGATGATATCAATGATAGCGAGTATTTTGATGAACACGATCATGATAGCGATGATGATATCAATGATAGCGAGTATTTTGATGAACACGATCATGATAGCGATGATGATATCAATGATAGCGAGTATTTTGATGAACATGATCATGATAGCGATGATGATATCAATGATAGCGAGTATTTTGATGAACACGATCATGATAGCGATGATATCAATGATAGCGATCATGATGATAGCGATGAATGCTCGTTAATTCTGCTTGTTATTGTGGGTGGGGTGGGTGGGGTGGAGTGGGGTGGGTGGGTGGAGTGGGTGGATGGGTTGAGTGGGTGGGGTGGGTGGGTGGAGTGGGTGGATTGGCTGGGTGAGGTGGGTGGGTGGAGTGGGTGGGGTGGGTGGGGTTGGTGGAGTGGGTGGATTGGCTGGGTGGAGTGGGTGGGGTGGGTGGAGGAGTGGGTGGGGTGAGTGGGTTGGGTGAATTGATCGTCAGCTGTGATTTTTTTGACCGAGTGATTAAAAGAGCAAAATCGAGTGATGTCTCTCTTCTTACAGAGCGTGCGGTTCTCGTTCATCCAGCTGTGGATATACCCTGGTGATGATGGTGGTGGTGGTGATGGTGGTGGTGATGGTGGTGATAATGGTGGTGGTAGTGGTGGTGGTGGTGATGGTGGTGATGATGGTGGTGATGGTGGTGATGATGGTGGTGGTGATGGTGGTAGTGATGGTGGTGGTGATAATGGTGGTGGTGATGATGGTGGTGATGGTTGTGATGGTGTTGGTGGTGGTTGTGATGGTGGTGGTGATGGTTGTGATGGTGGTGGTGATGGTTGTGATGGTGGTGGTGATGCTGGTGGTGATGGTGGCGGTGGTGATGTTGGTGGTGGTGATGATGGTGGTGGTGAAGGTTGTGATGGTGGTGATGGTTGTGATGGTAGTGATGGTAGTGGTGATGGTGGTGTT